ACAAGTGAAGATGAACACACAATGCAAATAAGATGAACATATTAGTCATATATGTTTTTCTAATATTGAAAAATTTGCTAGAAATTGTTTTTCTAACAAATATCTCAGAATTTAGAATTAGAAACTCATTCCAACTCTTAAATCAGTAGAGGCGAGTCTTCATGAATTCCAGAAATAATCAAGAATGAAGGAAATCACATAGAAGATGAAAGATTTGATTCAACTACTTAAAGATGAAAAAGTACAAGTTGAAAAATCATCCTCATCTTGCTCTTATCATACAACTCTGGTTCAATCCTTTAAGAGAACATACTTAGTAGTTAAGCGATCTTCTAAAAATTCAACATCAGATGAAGGAACCTTTTGTTCAAATATACACAAAGAAAATGAAGAAATTTCTTAAACATTTGAACAAAGAAGAGTAGGAGAGACATCAACCCCAAGGAGGAACATGAAATAATCGTCTTCCAACGAAGAAGATAAAATATGCTCAAAGGAAACCAACGAGGGAGGTACATTTTCAAGATTTGAAGATCTTTGAAAATTGAAGTTTCTAGTATATAAATGCACTCATTGTAAGAAAAATGGAAACTTGAAATATTTTAGCTTTAAATTGAAAATATTTATAGGTACCTTAGATCTTTTTAGACTAATGCACTTGGGTCAAAGAGATGATATGGACACCAAAGGTGAGACCTTAAGTGTTTTGCAGGTATGCTTTGCAGCTTAAAGCTTTAAAGATTATTTAAAAAAGTTGTACAAAGCATCAATATACTCTAGAAGTATAAAAAGAGTTTTGAAACTCTTCGATCCTGAAGATGAACGATGATGGAAAATGTCAACCTTTATGATCAAAGCAAAACATTTGAGAATATCTCATATTGATGATCTAAAATGACCAGTTGAATGAATAAGTCTGTAATGAACTTATCCATATTGTGGATTTACCAACTCTCGCATCCAACAATGCATAAAGAAGGATATATTGTAAGGTATCATTTTCCCTTTTGGGAAATAATTGTCAAATTTCTAGACAAGGAGGTAAAAAATATTTTGTGGTTGAAAATAATTAGGAAATCTGATAAAACCTTTAAAATAATTGTTTTAAAATTTTTTTACTCGTCAAATTCAATTTTTTTCTAACCCATAAAGATAATTATTTTAGTGTTCTCTAGAAAAGGGGTGAAAGAGAGTGACTTGGGAGTACAAAGCTCAAAGCCAAAAGGAAAAATGCTGAATTGGGCTAATCTAATCGAGTAGAATTTTGACTTAATCAATTAGATCATTTGAAAAATAAAGAATTCAAAAGTTAGAGATCCCCCAACGGATAGTTGGAGCAGTAAATGTTGTAACTGACACTTGTAACGTAAAACTCTCATTTATACCATTTCTAATCGATTAGAACATGAATCTAATCAATTAGACAATGACTATAAAAGGAGATAAGTTCTCACTCTTTGTCATTCCATCTTTCTTCCACTTATTATTTGCATACAAACACATAGTTTACTCAATCATCAGAAGACTAATTGCTCCAACACTACAAGAAAATTAGTGTTTAACGACACAAAAATTGCGACAATTATGTGATAACTGTCGTAATTGACATATAGAGACAGTGTTTACGACAGTTGACACCAACCGTCCCTAATATTTATTTTGCGACGGTATATTTAACCATCATAATATTATTATTACGACGGTAAAACAACCGTCGGCCCCCATTTAACACTTTTAACATTGATTTTTCACCAACAACTAGTCACGACGGTAAAATTAACCGTCCTAAAAGGCATATCACGATGGTAAAGCACCCGTCGCACCCTTAAACCTTTCACGACGGTAAAATTATCCGTCCTAAAATTTATTTCACGACGGTAAAACAACCGTCGCACCCAAAACCTTTAAAAATTCTTTTTATGATTTGTTAGGTTTTCTAATTTGTTGTTTTAGGGTTTGATTTGATTATTAGATTAAATATGTCGCTGGACCGATTAGAATCGATGAAGCCCAACACATTACTTGTTAGTTTTTTTATTAACATTGAATTAAAACAAAATGAAAAGAAATATAAGAAAACAGGGAGCACTTATCACATTACTTGTTAGTTTTTTTATTAACATTGAATTAAAAGAAAATGAAAAGAAATATAAGAAAACAGGGAGCACAATCGTTTTGGATAATTTTGTATTAGGGTTAATCTTTTGTGTCCATTGGAATTTATGAGAACACATTCTTTCCCTTCCCTCTCTTGAGCAGCGCCACATACACCTCTATACAACCTTCCTCCCACTGCTTAACCTTCAACCTATTATCCGGTGAAGCATCGCTTGTCTCCACATCGTTCAACTATTTTCACCAAACGTCTTCCACATCTCACTCTCACCTCCTCTTTGTTCCGTTTGTTCGGTTAAGGTTTTTCTCTTATCCCTTAAATCTTTATTTTCCATTAATTTCAGCTGCAATTATGTTTTCTTATTTCTATTTCTTTTACCCTCTTTGTTTTACAATAATCAAGGTTCGATCAAAACAAGCTTTGACCCTTTTTTAATTCTTTTTTATTCTTAGATTGATGGGATTGGTAGTGACCTGATTATTGGAAGTTCTTCTAGTGTCTAGGAATAGTGGTTGGCCTACGTGTTGGGGAATAAAGAGGAATATGGTATTTAAGGCTAAGCTAATTATGGAGAAGAGTGAGTCTTGGAGGAATAATGCAGAAGGAAAAAGAGAATGAATTACTTGACAGTCGGTAATAAGCAAGTTCCTGGTTAAAGCAGAAGGAGGTGTGTATTCATGTTTAAGAAGGGAGATTAGGAGAGGTTTATTTATGTAAAAAGGGTATTATTAGAATTATATGGGAATGGAGGGCCTATGGGTGATTTCCATAAATTTCTTGTCATAAATCATTTAAACTTAATATTTACATATCTAAAAACTAGAAGAAAATCCTTATGAGGTAGAATCTGGAATGACTCATTTTCATTAGATTTTTATTTGAGTATGCAAGTGCAACTAACCTTTGATTTAATTGATTTGAATGCCAATAGAAACTAGACTCAATTACCTTCAAGTTAGAAACTAGTTTCATTGAAAACCATTGAGTCTTGATAGATATAAGAAATTATGCTGTCCCATTTTGAGGAAAATGTAAATATGTATTTATGTAGAAATGTGAGAATTAAGTATAGGGGTTGAACTCATGAATTATTTCTCTATAAATGATTTAATTCATGAATTTTATTTTTCAATTTTTTAAAACATTATCATTTTCTCGAATTTCATAATATTTTAGTAACATTCTGTATATCATTCTTGAAATTTTTATGTTAGAGAGATACTTGGCTAAGCTAGTTGGAAGTACTCAACCGTTAGAAACTGGTCAACTAACATAATTAGTTGTTTATGGTAGAAGAGTTTGTTAGACAATTAGCTGTTAGTTTTCTAACAGAAGTCTTTAGTTTTCTCGCTAACATTATACTTGTTTTTAGTGCCTTTACCTACGCAATGTATATAAGCTAAGTTCCACAATTCTAACAATTCACCTTAGTGATAATATATTTGATATTCATTTTGATTTCCATTCACTATATTCAAAAGTAATCCAGTAGATTATCACTATATAGTCTATAGCTTATTGGTGCTGCTGCTGTATATAAGCAAAATCCAGTAGATTATTGGTGATAAGCATGGCAGCCCTTACCACATCTATAGCTGACAGAACTTTAATTTCTTTTAAAATCCTATAATTTGCTGCTGCTGAAACAAGATAAGAAAACAAACTCGAATCGATGCAAATTATATTGAAAACGAAAATCCTATAAGAAACCGAAAAGCATTAACGTACCGTATAGTGTAATAGGTAAACGTGTGAATGTTGAATATAATGATTAAAGTTGAATATAATGAATGTTGAATACATCTGCTGCCAACTACTAGGACATATTGATTTGTTTAGCTCTGATATTGCTGAGATTAGTTAGTTGTAAATTAATATATATATATATATATATATATATATATATATATATATATATATATATATATATATATATATATATATATATATATATATATATATATCAATGCTGATTTTGGTTGCTGTAGTGTATAGATACTATGGCTTAAGGGGAGTTATAGTTATAGTTGTGTATGATATAGGGGTTTATATAGTGCTTGTGAGGTTTTACAGTATACCATGTGGGATGAGTTGTATAAAGAAGTAATGGACAAAATGTATAATAATTATAAATTATGAAATGGTACAATAGGAGAGATTGAGGAAATGAAGCAACATGTGAAAGAGTGAGTTTTAGCTGGCAGATGAAAACCTTGAAATATGTTTAGGTTTTTAGGATACTTCAACTCTAAAGAATCCTGATCCATATAAGTATTGTATGGTCTAATTTAATTACAAAATAATGAGAGGTTCAGAAAAACTGCAGAATGATTGGCTAACTAAAATCCATTTGAGTTTTAATCATGTTTACAATAAGTAGTTTTTTATTAAAAAAAATAATAAAAGGCTGTTTATGACTGTATATGCAAGATATATAGGAGAAATATATATAATAGTATTAAGTATAAGCTTTATAGGGTTTAGTTAAAGTGAGAATTTGGCAGAACAGAGAGAGAAATATACCCATGGGAATAAAGAATGAAAAAGTGATGAACAATAGAAATAGAATATACATGTGGTCTTCTGAATGTAATGGCTGTCCTTCTGCAAAAAGCAAACTTATAGGGACAAAAATGTTACATAAACTCAAATAATATTCCCGACATTCTGAACCTTGAAAGCAATAATTCATTGTTTACAAACACAGAGAAAAAAGATTCCATGATAAGTGTATTTTCAATGTTTGGTCTTCATCATAATCATCATTCTAATTCTAATATACTTTTAATGTAAAACATTGGTTGCTGTTAATTTTTTAGCATATACTATTATGTATACAAGGACAAAGTAGTTTTGGAAAACAACGCATCAAACCTTTGGTTATATGACTTTATGTTTGACTCTGATGCAGGCTAAGGTCGTGGAGAGCGACAACATATGTCAAGAGAATAAAATGCTAAAGAAGAAGGTGGAGTCACAGCCTTTCAATACCAGGGACGTTGAGAGGATGAAAAGAGAGTTGCAGGCTGCTGAGAGGGATGCTGGAGAGGCTGAACTTGCTAGGAATGATTGGGAGGAAAAGTGTTGGGAGCTTGGCCGTACTCTCGCAAATAACATCAGAGACTTAGAACCTATCACCAGGGATTGTAACCAAGCCCTTAAGAGGTTCTTTTCTTTTCCTCTTGTATTGTATTCTATTGCACCCCATTTGTTTTTTTAGCATAATTGTATCGACTATTTACATCTAAACTAGATAACTTCTGTGCTGATGTTAATAGGGATCAATTATTAAGCAAACTCTTACTTTCATGTGCTTCTAGGTTGAAGATTGGTAATGACATTCAATATGTGTTGAATCCCAAGGGAACCACGCATGCTGAGATCATGGGTATTGATTACAAAGTCACGCTGAAGCCTGCACTTAACTCATTTGCAGATGACATCAAGACTACAATGGGATGAAAAAGGCAGCGTCACACAAAACTACAATTCCTTCGGCGTCGTCAATGACCCTAACTCCCTCACCGATTCTCTTCGAGCTCCTCCTTCTGTCTCCGATGTTTGTAATTTTGAAAAGTAATGCTTGTAATTTGCAGGCATATGCTGCTGCCGTACAGTGAATCAAAACTATGCAAATATTCTTTTGATGCTTGTACGTCTCCGTCAGGCTTGTGATCACCCACTTCTTGTTAAAGAATACAATTCTGATCCTGTTGGAAAAGATTCTGTTGAAATGGCAAAAAGGCTTCCAAAAGAGATGCTGATAAATCTGTTTAATAGTTTGGAAACAACTTCCGCTATATGTTTTGTCTGCAATGTAAGTTAATTCTGATTTGATAATTTCATTATTTGTTTCTTTGTTGCAATTATTCCTTCTAAGAGCGTCATCTGATATAGATCATTTTGATCGTATCTTACCAGTCTTTCTCTTCCTATGGTACATGTTTTGTTTATATGTTTAATAAATAACATTAGTAGGAACACTTCTCTATGGTTTGAAATATGATGAAGTTTGTGAATAAATAACATTAGTAGGAACAGTTAATAATTGGGAATATGGCCTTAATACAAAGAACTAGCTTTCTTGTTATTTTCTTTTCTTCTGATACATGATATAGTAGTACATGATAAGCTTGGTAGACTCTGCTGTTAGTAATTGGTTTAATCTATTTAATGACTCAGTTATTTATTTTGCCTTGCCTGTGTTAAATACTTGAGTAGAGGCCAGAGAATAAGCTTGGAGATGATGAAACGTGGGATAGGGCTGAAAGTGCTCTCAAGGAGGCTTTGGATGAGTGTGGCAAAGGGAATGTGTTTGTTAAGGTATGTTATAGGGTTTATAGGTTTGATGTGAATTGTGAAATGCTTAAATGGTGATATTCTGTTTTCTTTTTATGTTTGATGTGAATTCTAATGGAAACTTTGCGATGTTAATGTTATTACAGAACTTAGCGGAATCGATAGATAATGTGGGACTGCATGATTTATTTCAAGAATATGGGAATATTTTGTCTAGCAAAATTGTCATCTCTGAAGATGGGAAGAGCAAAGGGTTTGGTTATATACAGTTTGGTTCAGAGGAGTCTGCAAATGATGCTATCCAGAAAATGAATGGCTCTACTGTGAGAGATAAGCAGATGTATGTGAAATTGTTTTAGAATTTGTTAAAATTTTCCTTCAGTTCCATATGTATGTTTTCTCTTTTGAATTTGTTAATTGCTCTTTTAGTTATCTTAAGATTGGTTTTGATAATCTGATTCCATTTCTTCTCACAGATATGTTGGGAAATTTATCAGAAAAAGTGAGCGCTCTTTGCCTGAACCTGATGCCAAATATACAAACTTGTACGTTAAGAATTTGGACCCAGATATTACCGAAGCACTTCTTAAAGAAAAGTTCTCATCTTTTGGAAAAATTCTTAGCTTGGCTATTGTAAAGGATGAGAAGGGGTTGTCAAAAGGTTTTGGATTTATGAACTATGAAAACCCGGATGATGCAAGACGAGCAACGGAAGCAATGAATGGATCACAATTTGGTAATTTACTTATCTTTTTAGTACATAGGTCTTTTATGCTCAAAGTTGCACTTTTCTGGATGTTGATTCTCTGTGTATATCTGGTTTTGATTTGTCATAACTAGGTTCAAAGAACCTGTATGTTGCAAGAGCACAAAAAAAGGTTGAACGTGATAAGACCTTGCATCAGTGGTTTGCAGAAAGATGCATGGAGAAAAACTTGAAATACAAGGTAATTCCATACCCTTTTTCCTACAGTTGACTAATTAATTTCAGCTTTCTTAGTTTTCCACCATTTTAACTTTCAGGGATCAAACATTTATGTGAAGAACATTGATGATAGTGTTAGTGACGAAGAACTAAAGAGTCAGTTTAGTGCTTGTGGCACAATAACTTCTGCAAAAGTTATGCGAGATGACAAAGGAAAAAGCAAAGGCTTTGGGTTTGTCTGTTTCTCTACCCTGGATGAGGCTGTTAAGGCTGTGAACAGTTTTCATGGTGAGTAAAGTTTCTTTGAATCTGTAAGCCACTAAGGTGATAGGATTTAATGTTTTGGTCAAGAATCATTTTTTGCATAGATATGTTTTCGTTGTACTATGAAGTTTGAAAAATGTGCTGATCACTATCATGTTTCAATAATACTGCATGTTATGTTATATTTATTGGATTATAACTTGAGAGATTAGATCTATATCACATGCTACTTTCTATGTTCTGAATTTTAATTAAGTTCTGATCTAAAAAATTTACATCACTGTTACTTACTTCCTTTTAAGAAATTTTCTAATCATATTAAAATATTTTTATTCAAGTATCAAATCCATTTAGAACAATATTCTCCGATACTTCTGTTATGTCATTCTTTTTTTTTTGGATACGCAAATGTTACTTATTGATTATTTAAATTGATGTTATATGCCACAGGACGCATGTTTCACGGAAAACCACTGTATGTTGCTTTTGCTCAGAGGAAAGATGTTAGGCAAAGCCTATTGCAGCTCCAGCATTCGCACTGGTGTTGTTTATCATCACCCTAAGGGTTCTACAACATTTTATCATCATTCATCGGGTTCTATTGTGAGTGACAAATTTGCATAATAACTAGATAAAAGGAGTTCATCATAGGAAATTGAACTCTTAATGCAAATGCAGAATTTTAGTGGAAGACAAGTATATTATTTTGACGCATTTAAAGTTAAATTTTATGAGTATTATTTTAAAGATTATTATTTTAATACCTTTTTTTAGGGATTGGAATCACCCGCTGATGGTAGACGTTCATCTGAGTCTAGCTACCGTATTGGAGATAATGGAACTTCAGGGGGGACAAATTAGACTTTGCTATGATCGAGATAATTAGATTGTGAACTTTCTCATGTATTTTTGGCATAATGATACTTATTATTATAAGATTAGGAATTGATATATTTTGGGTTTTTTGTACTACTTGACATGATTATGGATCTCGCATTTTACATGATTATGGAACACACATTTTTTTGGATATTATAATGCTTATTTGATTTTAAATATTTTTTATTGAAATTATTTTTACTATATTACAAAGTGATAGAAAATAAAACAAAAAATAATACTATAAATAAATATATTAAAGAAGAAATAATTTAAAGAAAAAAATAACACAAAAAAAAACTATATTTAAAATTTTTTACATAGATAATAATTTAAATAAAAAATATATATAATAGAAAAATAAAAAAAATCAAGACATAAACAAAAGTCATGGCAACAGTACCGAACCGTCGTAATCAATAATTAAAAATAATCAATAAAAGTCATGACGGTATCGAACCGTCGCCATAAACAATTTAATCAATTTCAAAAGATATTCACGACAGTATCGAACCGTCGCCATCAATAATTAAAAGAAACTCAAAAGATAGTCACGACAGTATCAACCCGTCGTAAACTTGAACGACAGTTTTTGTAACCGTCGCGAAATAGGTTGGGGACACACACTTTTGCGACGGTAAAGCAACCGTCGTGGAAAGCAAATTGCGACGGTTTTAACCGTCGTAATCTACAAAAATACCTGTCGCAATCTGCCAATTTTCTTGTAGTGCAAGGTTCATGTTCGTGGAAAGAAGATTAACCACTTTAATCCACAACTGGGAAGGAAGATTGTTTGCTTCACTCTCAATAATATATTAAAGAAAAGACACAAACACCCACATTCATTGTCTTATATTATTTGGTTGAAGATCAACCATCATTTCCTTGTAATAAAGGGTTCATGAGTCTTTCCTACTAAAAGCTCTCAAATATTATTGGAAACTCTCAAGATTAATTCCTGGGGAGAGGAGTATGTCATTTTAATTTGAATGAACCACTATAAATCTTGGTGCTCTTCTTCTTCCCTTAACTATTTAAATTTTGCAATTTATTTTCTGCTATTTACTTTCAGCTGCTTAGTTTTTGAAAATATTTTTAAACTCTGATTTTACTAGACTAAGTTTTTCAAACACTATTTTTAATAAGAAAAAGTTTTTAAAACCATGTTTTTCCAAACCACACAATTCACCCCCTTTTGTGTGTGAATTCTCAAGTCTAACAGATTCCTCCATCAATTTATCCTTCAAAGTTAGATTGAATGCCTTAGCCATAATCCATATAGTCTGTAAACCCGTCTTCTCCAACAGAGATCCATTTAAGCCACTAATGTATCGAGCCTTCTTCTGGATCTCTATTCTCCCAGTTCACTACACTCTAAAAAACGTAAGAAATCAACCATGTATTATGTCACAATTATCTTTCCTTGATCAGACTCAATATACATCTTATAAATAATTTGTTCATAAACCTCCGACAAGAATCACTCTACCATCAATTGTTTCATTATTCATAAAGTTATGACTGGTCCATTCCTTTACTTGTGCCTCTGAATAACAAGCTTATTCCACCAGAAATCAACAATACTCTTTAACTTGATCTCCACCATAAAATCAAAGAATATGTCATCGTTAATATGCCAATCCATAAAATCCTTCACTTATACCATTTCGTATAATAATGGAACATAAACATTCATTTGATATCCATGTTTATATTTTCGATTCCCATGATTAACTATCTCTTCATCGTTGGGTTCTTCTTCTTCAAGACTCTAATTTTCAGCAATAACAACACAATCGTTTCTATATCATGGAAACCTAATCGATTCTCCACTCATATATCTTCACTGGTTTCAGTTGTTTTTGTTATTGTTCATTTGAGTTGTCTAAGTCACCATTTGTTCAGTCAAAGCAGTTAGGGTCATGGCAAAAGCTGCATAATTCCCTCAAGGTCTGCTCTGATCACCAATTAATCTCGCATGGCTGATCAAGCTATGGAAAGAAACAAGAGAAAACCTATTCTGATGCCACCTGATGCAGTCAAAATCACGAAGGATTAGCAAGTGTTAAACCCTAGAACAAAACATAGGTTTTCAAGCGATAAACATGTCAGATAAAATTGTAGAATCCACCAAAAAGAGAAAACTATTGAATTTTATTATGATAAATAATAACTCTGACGACCACACACAAAAATGTTTAAATACAGAAAAAGAAACCATAATGCTAAAAATATTAAAAAAACAAAAATAAAGCATAAATTTATAAAATTTTGGAAAATAAAACAGTAATCGCTAAAATTGTGGAAAATATTAAAATACTATTTTCGGGCCTGAAACAAACTCCGATGTAAAAACTCCATATCTCATAACAAAGCAGTGAATTAGACTCGTAAACTGATTCCTTATATGGAAATGTATAACAAGAGTCCTTTCGACATCAGACGTCAAACTTGCACAAATCCCGATGAACCTTTTTGATGCATTATTTCTTCTTCGATACACACAGTTAGTCTTCTTACATAAATTAGTATCAAAATATACACCCTATTGTTGTTGGGTGTGTTCCAAGGTATTTAATGTTTTCTATTTAAGATGGAAAATACCAAGGAATGAGGATATGTTAATCATCCATTGATTCTTGATGGTACTAATTATAACTACGAGAAAGCTTGCATGGTTGCCTTTCTTAAGTCCATGGATAGCAAAACTTGGAAACATTATAAGATCTCAGATGAGAAGCTTATGAGAAATATTATAAGATTTTTACCAAAGAGGCATGGCATGAATGTCACCGCCATTGAGGAAGCACAAAATGCTCCACAATGAAAGTTGATGAATTGTTTGACTTCTTCCTCACCTTTAAGATGACCATTGATGGAAAATCTGAGAAAGAGAGTAAAGGGGCAGCGTTTAAAACCAATATTTCGAATCATGATCACCTATTATCCAATGACATTAAGGAAAATATTAGTGAATCTATTGTTATGCTTGCTAAGAATTTTAGCACGATCATGAGAAGACTTGATAGAATATATGGGAACAATGTCTCTTTAAATGTCAAGGAGCTAATCGATTAGGCGCGACAGAAATTGAGATTTTGCACCACATAATCGATTTACCCTAAGGGCCTAATTGATTAAATCTTTTTTCTCAAATCTTTAACAATTCAATAGGAGATTAATAAAGCAAAGGATTATTGCTTCTCCAAATCTAAATCAAATCAAATCAAATCATTATACTGAAAGCGCTACAAAAACAAATTTTCATGAGATCTAATCTATTAGAGATATTGTTTTAGAAAGTTTTGCTAGTAAATCTCTTATGAGAAAAATAAATCTAATTTTATATGATTTTTCACGCCAAAAATAGTTATTAAAATCTAATTCTAATTTTGAATTCCTTTAGGTGATTTTTCCCATAAGATATTTTTCTAGCAAACAAGAGAAGAGAAAAGAATTTGGAATGAATGAAAGATGAAGAGTGTGCACCTTTATATAGTTGTACCTATGTGGCTGTTAACTCAAAATTTTTAAGTCAATTGGGCTTATGGAATGGTTGCTACATATTCAACTCCCAAAGGAGAAATTAAGTAGTGTTACCCTACATAAGTTTAATTACTAGGTTCCTAATCAAAGCTGAGATCTTTTTGGATAATGAAATCTCGAGTTCATCTATTTGACAGATTGATGAAAAATCATTGAATCGGTGATTGGTTCTTAGAGGATGTTCTGATAGAAGCAAGTGAAAGTAAAGATATTCAAGGTTCATTGTCTAAAGGAATTTTGATGACCCTTTTAACAAACTTCCAAGAAACTGTCCGGGTTGTTCAAGAGTTGGTCAAGGATGTTGCGCTCGTCAAGAAGCATATGTTGGAAAAGAAAATAACCAATAATGACGATATCAACATTTAGTAGTTGTCTTTTCCCGTGTTTATTTATCGCTTTTAGTGTGTTTATTTCCAACAACTTCTTGCTTTATTATACTTTGAATTACTTTCAATTAAATGAATAATAAATATGTTATTTTCCTCCATTTGAAATTTTTGGTTTAGTGTTTGAATTTGTTCCTTATTTGTTTATTTCTGTATTTTGATAATGTCAAAAGAGGGGAAATATACTCTCAAGAGAAGTATGATATACTATATATATTAATTAGAGGAAGTTTAACCACTTCAATCTTTTACCTTTGTTTTTCTATTTCTCCACATCACTAAGAGATGTGTTGTCATCATCAAAAAGAGGAAGAATATGAATCTATGTCCTTATAAGTATAATATCTGCAACACATATAATCTCAATAATTTTGATTATGACAATATTGTGATGTGAAGTCTTCATCTGAAGTGATAATCAAGATGATCAAGGTATTCTGTTTGTGAAATTAAAATGTCAAATTCAATCTCTTAAAAACAACACTTAATATCAAGTAACGTTTGACCATAAAATTGTTGAGAATATAACAAATTGAGTGTGGAGAAATAGTCTCACATTACATATGAATGTGGTAACTTAAGTATTTATAAGTGGGAGAACCCACTCACCTATCACATTATAGTTTTAGGTGGACAAATGATGTGTCTTCTACAAAGATATGTTGTTCAAAGGAAAATCCCACAAAAAAATAAGAATGCACTCGACTCTCTCCTAATTATTGCGTTAACAAAAATATGTGATTTTTCATTTT